TTAAAAATCATTAAACAAAATTTGAAAATTTTTACATAAATCGTAATAACTATAATATATTTGGGGTGAAAATAACAATTATCTGTTGTATGTACATACATATTTTATTTTACATGTTATATTTTTCACAATATATCAATATAAATAATATTCATGTATGCATTTGTGTAATTGATATATAAATACAATAGTAACTAAAATAAGGTAAATTAATATCTCATCCCCTTTTCCTTTTATGTATACATATATGCATATAACATTTTCCCATCGAAATATAACTAGTTGTATAAACACATGTAAACATTGTTATATATGCTTGATGATTTGAAATTAAATAAATTTTTACAAGTAGCATAATGATTGTAACCTATGTATATTAACCCCAAAAAATTCTGTAATGGGATAAATTTTTAAATAATAGATAAAAGGAGTATAATGTAAAATTTTAATGAACGTAATCATAATTATAACTTTAAGTATATGTATATCTATAGAATAAGTACATATGTTTTTTTTATAGAGCATTTACATATAATTGAATTCTAACAAAAATCATATAGAGTTACAACAGTTATAACATATCTAAATATATTCATATGAGAAGAAAGGATTTTGTATAAGGTTAAAGGGAAGGTTTATATATACCATAAGGTAGTTTATTATAATAATAAAAGAAATTGATTCACTCTATTTAACACTTAACTTGTTTTTCATATATAAAAAATTTTTTAAGCATAAAATTCTTAAATTGCTCCTGTTTCTTTTATACTATTAAAATAGGCATGAAAAGTCAAAAAAGTTTTACAATTTTAGAATATTTTGTTTTGTCTATTTTTTTTTTTGTTTTTTATTTATATAACTTTTTAAATACTTTTTTGTTTGGTGTTGTTCTTTTCTTGATAATGATGTTGATGAGATTATTATATATAATTTAACTATCTTTTGTTTTATAATTTTTTTTGGTTTTTCATTTTTTGTTATTATAATATAGTTAGAAATATTTGGAATAATTCTTTACTATATGAAAGGATGAAAAACCACAAAATGCTTGCGGATTTAACAAATCAGATTTTAAAATTTACAAAATGTTATAGTATAAAAATCATGTGTATAATTAAATATATTGTTGAATACACAGTGTTTAATAAAAATGCACAGTAGACTTAAGACACCAATTTTTAAAATTATAAACAATTATTTATTTTTAAAGCATTTTATTGTATGTAGATAGCATGAGGCGACAAAAGGTTTTATTTTGAAATTTTTAGTATTGAATAAAGAAAAAATGTGCTATAACAAAGTAAAAATATTTTTAAGGTGCTATTCAACACATTTTAAATATTGTAATACTTTTTCAGAAATGTTTTGATAATTCCAAAAAAAAAAACCCATTTTATAAAATATTCATTTTGGTCCTTCTTTTTAAATTTAATTTTCAATATAATCAATCTATGTAATATTAAAAATGACACATCTTGTCAAATAAGCTCATTGTGCATATAGAATATTTTCAACTTGAAAACTTCCTTTCTAAGACTGTAAACATAGAATAACAAGACCAACATAGAAAACCCGTAACCCTTATAAAATATAGTAAAAAATTCCCCAATGTATTATAAAAAGGAAACTCTAATCAAAATAACTGAGATTTTTGTTTTTTTATTTTTTATTTTTGTAAAGAGAAATAACTTTTTACCTTTTTTACCTTTTGGCTTTTTCTTTTATAAAATGATAGTGTTAAATAAAATTTGTTATTTTGCATAACAAGAATATAATATGGTAGTGGTAAAACCAAAAAATGAATTTTATATAGAATAGGAAAGAAATCAAAAGAAAAACTTTAAAATTTTTCAAATATTTCCAACATTTCAAGTTAATTTTAAATTGAGGTGTAAAAATTTATGTTGGTTATGGTTTTATATGGTTTATGGTTTAAGTTTTTCTTTTTAACTTTTAACTATACATAAAATACATACATATGTGTACATATATTTAAAAAATGTATATTTAAATAAATTTTATAATAATATGTTATTTTATGTTTATCAACACTTAATTTTGTTTAGGAGTATGAGGTTAATAATGATGTGTTATTGTTTGTGTTTTTAAAGTTTAAAAGTTTGTCTATTTAATTACATATACATAATATGTTAATAATATAAAATAATATGTAAATTTTATATATCCAACTTGTATAGGACATTAAAGGAAACACAAGTTAAAATATAATAATGATGATAATGTTATTTTAACACAGATTTAACATAATATGTTTTGATATTTTGATAAAGTGAGGATGTTTTAATATCCTCGAAGTAATTTTAATTACATTGAATATTGTATGTACAGTGAAAACTTGCTTAACAGATATATTTTGATAAAATATAAAGTATATTTTTAATGGGTAATTAAATCAATCGGATAAATAAGAAATTAAACAAATATGTTATGAAAAAATATTACAAAGAGCGTCATTTTAGAAATTTGGTTTAAATTAGTTTTGTAAAATTGACAAAATATAATAATATAAGAGGAATTACTAGTAAAGAATTGTAAAATTATGTGTAAATGGCAATATTTTATTACGTTTCAATCCTATTATCACTTTCTTATAGTCAATTTTCAGTTTAAATTTGAGATTGGAGCTAAATTTTAAGCTTTAGCTTGCATAAGGATATGTAACAATAAAGGTTTTATTAAGGATATGCAATAATAAAGGCTCTTGTTTAATTGCAATCTTATAATTAATATTTGAAAAAACATTTATTTCATGTAATCAGTTTACCAATGTTAATTTCAAATGAATTTTACTGTACAAAATATTATTTAAATGTATATACAAATTTTTTGAAATATTTACATACATACATTTATATTTTTATGTACTATATAAACCATATATTTGTTATGTATAAATTTTGAATACAAAAAGAGAAAAGTATTAAACGATTTATTTGGAATCATAAAACAAGAAAACTATTTAACAGTATGTATAATTATTATGATGTGTGAAAATCTATGTTATTTTTTCTTAACATTTATTATTATTGTTACTGTTAAGTGAAAATTAAGTAATTATTATTAGATAAATTAAAATTTTATTATTATTATATGTATGTTATTTTTCCACATAATATTTAAAGTTTTATATGTAGCGTTGTTGGGGAAAATTTTATTATAACTATATTTTAGATTGTTTTATTTTTAACAGGAAACTATAATATGTATATTAGAGTAAATAAAGAGGAAATTTATACTTTTAGATATTTTAAAAAATATAACCCAAATATAGGATATAAATTATAAATATTATGATATATTATGTAGAACATTATTAGATAATGTAGAATAAAATTGCTGTATGTATATTTTGTTTATTATAATCAATGAACATAGTGTAATAAGTTTTACATACATTTTATATGTATGTTCATATAATTTGAAACTTTAAGTTATTTTATGAGATCATAATTTCATATGAGAATCCTTTCCTTGTGGGAATATTTTGATTAATTGAATAGAAAATTGATGTTAATAATTAAAATTATGTAAATAAATATTTTATTATAAGTGTGTTATAAATTTTATATAGAATAAATAAATAGAATTTGAGTATTTATTAAATATGGCAAAATTTATTTAAATTTAATTATATGTGATAATATAATTAAATTAATAAATTATTTAAAACTTATTTTAACAAAATATAATAGACAAAATTAATTAAGTTTTTATTGATTTAGAAATGTCAAAATAATTTAGAAATTTGTATTTAAAATGTATACGTAAAATTATATTAAGGTAATTTTGATTAACAGTTAAATATTGTAGTAATGAATGCAATCACGGTAGAAGGAATTTGATTTTTAATTTATTTAAAGTTTTAAAATTGAAAATGTTTAAAATGTAAAAGTATTTTTTTTTTAGAATTAATTAAATTTAATTATTGATGGTATTTGAAAAGTTGATTATTGCTCTTAAATTTTATGTATGACAAATGATTTTTGATGTTGTCATTGCTGTTTTCTGATTTTTATTAAAATTATTAATTTAATTATTGTTATATTATAAAGTTTTTATATAAATGTCAACAAAATATTAAAATGTTTAATATTTCTTAATAATATTCAAATGTATTTTAAAAAAAACATAAAATATGTGTATAGAAATTTTTATTTTCTGAACAAAACAAAAAAACAAAAAGAAAATTCTAAAAATTAATTTCACATAAAATTTTCAATAAACTTTTGAATTAAAGATGTTTTAATCGAATTTCAAAATAAGATTTAATTTTTATTAAAATTTTTGAATTTGAAGAATTAATTTTATTCATTATCAAATTTTATATGAATTAATTTGAAAATTTTATTTTGTTTTCAAAAAATAACTATAGGTTATGGTTTTTTGTTTTTAGGGCAGAATTTAAAAATTCAGAATTCCAGAGTTTTAAAGATCGCGATTCTATACAATAAGTAATTTTATTTTGCTTTTAAGGGAGGTATCCTAACCTTTTTTAAAAAAAATTTCTAATTGGTTAATTTTTGAATTTTGTGAAATTATTATTTGTTATATTACTGGTATACTTATATTATATTTGACTACTAAAATGTTATTTGAATTAATCATTAAACCATTTGTTTAAAAAAAAAATATAATATATTTTTTAATAGCATAATATAAAATATGAAATAAAATTTTTTTTTTTAATTTTTAATTAAGAAAAAAAAAATGTATTTTGTATCGAATCACATTTTTTTTTCTTAATTTCAAAATAATTTAAAAAATTTATTTGATTTTTTTTTTGTTTGCAATAAATTTTTTAAAACCAATTATAATATTAAATAGCGAAGATTTTAGGATTCATAAACATATAAAAAAAAATATATATTTTATGTATTTTTAAAAAATAATTTACGATAAATATATTTATTATATGATAGTGAAATATTTTTTAAATATATATATATTTAAATTAATAAATTTTTAAAAAGGATTCTTACCTTGGGGTGAAATAGCTGCTTCTGCCGCTGATTGTAAATGTGAATTAAAACCTAAAAGTGAAGAATTTCATCTAGAACTTTAATAATTCTTTATTTAAATAATTATAATTAATATAGAAATGAAATGATAGTTTATAATGAAAGAAACAAATACATTAATTGTTTATAGTACCTATGTATTAAGTATGTTTAAAATTATCGTCAATCGTTTATATAATAATTTATTAAATTTTATTTTATTTAATGAGCGGGGCGCGGCAAAGCGAAATCAAAAAAATTTTTATGTTTTGTCAATAATAAAAACTATTTATGTATGAATTAATTTTTTTAATTTGGTTCTTAGTAGTTTGTATATTTTCATTTATTGTGAAACGATTTTAATAAATAAAGATGGCAATTAAGCAAATTAACAAATTGTTTAACGCTAATTTTATTTTATAATTTTAAATTAAATGAATTGATTAATAACATTTTTAAAAAATAAGAAAAATTTTATATTTTATTGAAACAGTAGCGTATTATGAATTTTTGATTTAAAATTAAATCGAAATATTGTATTTGTATATTACGAATAAAATTTTATATTGATTGAATTTTCTATTAAAATAATATCTAAGTTGGTTCTAATAAATAAAAGCCCAGAACGTGATCGTGCATTTAGGTATTTTATTCGCTAAGTGAAGCAAGAATCCAATCGAAAAAATGAAATAATCATAAAAAAACGGAGAAATTTATTTTGAAAGTGAATAAAAAGCGAGATTAAAAAGCGAGATACACGGTTTGGCTGTTGAATTTTAATAAGGAATACAAGGTAATTTTAAGAGCTTATATGAATTATTTGACGTCTACAGAGAAAACTAAAACAATTCTGTTGAATTTTAAGATTCAAAAATTAAACAAAATTTAAAAAAAAAAGAAATCGCCAAATTTCTTCATTAACTTTTTTTTACCTGCTAATGTAGCTGGATCTAATGTTGCCATAGGAAAATTAAATGATGCAGGTGTCGCAAAAAATTTTGATTCATTTAAAAAAGGAGGTTGATGATGTGAGTGAATACTGTTTTCCATTTCGTCATCATTTGCTGAACTAAAATTACATAAGAAAAATGAAAAATATAAAAAAAAAAGTAAAATAAGGAATATTATAAGTTTATTTGGTGTCTTAGATTATGTTAATTTTTTGAAAACATATGTATATACAGCTGTTGTAAAGAACAAAATAAAAAATGCATTTAAAAGAAAAAAATATTTAAGTGAAACAACCAAAAAAAAAAATGTGAAAGGAAGTATTGAAAAACAAAAAAAAAATATCATTTTTATAACATTGTAAAAGGATATTCAAATATCCTTTATTGAATTTTTTCTTTGTTTTTGATTCTTCACATTTGAAATTTGATAACTATTTCCTATTTTAGTTTTTTTTTTCACATTAACTTTTAAAATTTTTGTCTTTTATATTTTATATACATTTGTAGTATAGTATTAAATGGTATCATAAAATATTTACCTTAAAGATCCTTTACCAATATCACCACTACTTGAACGATTTGCGTCATGTTCCCCTGTCGAATCGTTACTATGTTCATCTTGTATTGGATTATTATTTGAGCATACTAATTCCATTGGTTCTGATTTAACATCATCATTATTTAATCGGGTTGGTGGTGGTGAATGACTTAAACTATCTTTATCATTTGATGTTATACCATTTCCGGTTGGACCATTTCCTGTTATTATTTGAAAATTTTTTATTTAAGTTTTATATTGAATTTAATATTGAAAAAGGAAGAGTTTTTGTGTATAGATAATGTTAAAAAATAATAAAAAAATTTCTAAATGTTTGCACTTTTACCAAGAAAAATCTACATTACATTTTTATTGGAATTCTTATTATCCTTTTTTTTTATAAAAATTTTTTACTTAAATTTTTTAGAATACATATAAGATTAATTTAAATTATGTTTTGAATTTGAATTGTTGATCAATAAAGTTTATTAAAATATTTATGAGTTTGAAGTAGCGTCAATAAATTTTGAGGTATAATTCCCATTACCCTCCGAAATTATATAAAAAATTATTCTTTAAAATTATAAAAATTTAGCATACATAAAAAAAACTAAAATTAATTTACTTTACTTCAAAATAATTCATTAAACCACACAAAAACCAAAAAAAAAAAAGAATAAGCATTTTTCTACACCCCAAAATTAATAAAAATTTACCATCATTTATCTCACTTTTATCATCCTTTATTGGTGGCGTATTATTATTATTATGTTTTATTGTTGAATAATCAGCTGCTGTTATTTGATCTCTTGTTGTTGGATCTGGACTATTATTATTACTGCTAGAAATACCATTATCATTACTTGATCTATGTCTCTTTTGTCCACTGCTACCCATTATTTCATTTTCTGATTGTGATGAATTATGTCGATCACGATGTAATGCTGCTACAGCTGCTCTCCTTAATAATTGATTAACATTTGTTAATGGTGAATGATGCATATTTGCCAATGGATGTGCTGGTGGTGATACACCACAATTTGGGAATAATGGTGAATCATCTGGATGTGATATTTTATCAGAAAATGGATGTCGATGATTAATTGGTGTTCTTGGTGTTATATTATCAATTTCTCTATTACCAATATCACTTCTTCTACCAATATTATTATCAATACCACCAATACCACCAATTGAATTACAACCATCACGATTATTTTGACTACTATTGACAAGACCACTGCCAACACCACTTACACCACCTACATTTCCACCAACACTTGAACGTCCACTATCAACATTTCCAACACTGCCAACGCCACCACTAATACCATTACCATTGCCACTACCAATTCCACCAGAATTTGTAAGATTTGGTTCTAACTGTAATAATAATTATGTTGTTTTTCTTTAGTTTAGAAAATTTGGAACTTTAAATAATTAAAATTTAGAAAAACTATATTCAGGGTTCGCAAAAAAATTGTTTATTTGCTATAGAATTTTATTTTGAAAAATTTTACTTACATTTTGTGTTTCTTCTGCTTGCCTTTGTGTTAAACCGGAAACTCGAAGTACCTCAGCCGTTTTAAGGAATGAACTTAATGAACTTTGATGTACATTTACTTCACCATGATATATAAATTCGACTAAAGCATGTAAATCAGGATATGAGACATCCTGTAGTACAATAACTGGATGTTTACAAGGTGTACTCTGAAAAATAATGATTAACAAAAATTAATGCTAATTTTCAAATATATTAAATTTTTAATATATATATAGTACTATTTAATAATTAATTTTACGAAGTTAGAGGGCTCGGAAAGAAATTAATAGTAAGAATATTGTTGGATTTTTGGTAATTAATAAAAATTCTTGGTTAATTCTAATATAGCGAGCGTAAATTTATTAAATTAATATAGTTACGGTTGTATCCTATATGAAATTTCATTATAATATACAATATATTTTATTATCTTATAACAAATTTAAATCATCTTACGCAGATATATAGCTAATATAACATAATTAATTTGTTTATTATATAATTTTAATCATATATTATAAATCTAAAATAAGAATTTAAAGGGGCAGCAGTAGTAATAAGAAAATGACCATTTTTTTTTAAACAAATATTTTAAAAAATAAATATGTACGATTAAACGAGTATTATAAGTTATTTTGATATTATAATATGACTTATTTCTAGAAAAAAATATCTTATATGTATGAGTGTACATTAATGTTCCTTCTTATAAAATGTTCACTAAAAACTATATCTTATAATTTTATTGTGTACTTTAGTTAGAATTATACTATACATTATGTTATAAAAGAATTAAAACTCCGGAAATACTTTTAAAATAATAAAATGTTATGTTTATGCATATATGTATGCATATGTGTATAAAACAATTAAAATAAAAATTACTTTAAGAAATATATTTATTGTGTCCTGCTATAATAAAGTATGATTAATGAAAATAATAATAATTTTCAATTTTTGAGGTCATAATTGTATTATATATATGTACGTATGAATTTGTATAGGTACGTATAATATTATGAATATGAGAACTTCTTTATTTAAAAGATCTTTGAAGGTTATTATTGTAAAACTTTTATTTGAATCATTTTTACATTCGTATGTATGTATATGTACATGCATTTTTGTACTATACTGTTATATATACATATGTATACAGAAAGTGTTTATTAATATTATATATTCGAAGGTTTTTCTTGAAATAAGAAATTATTAATGCATCTGTGTAAACATAAGCATATAATAAAATTTTTGCGTATAAGAAATAAAAATAAAAGAAATATGCAGATATACTTACATACATATATATTATTTTGTGCCTTATATTCAACATTAAATTATAATACATAAATGTATATATATGTATAAGAGTTTCAATATTAAAAAATGTATTAGCATTGAGCAAGTTACATTTCTATGGTCAAAACTGATAGAACTTTCGAACCAGTAGTAAATCAAAAATATTCTGTTGGCATTATGAAAATATATCAAGTCGGGTTAGGGGTTTTTTGCTTGAAAACCATGAAATTACAAATAAATATTTAAAATTATTTTGTATTTTAAAATGGTTTTTTGTCATATATATTATGTTTATTTGAAATAATAGGCATACCGTACATATGTGATCGGGTTATTAAAAGAATCAATAATTATAATTTATTGCCCAGACCTCAAATCAGATAGTAATACTTTAGTTTATTATTTTGTTTTCATATTTCACAATAGCTTCAATAACTAATAACCTTCAAATATACATACATATTTACATATAAATGTATTGGAGAGCATAAAGCTTTTCGATTTTTTCAATGTTTTCAAATTTTTTAGTAACGTTTTCAAATCGGAATTCTCGCTTTTTAATTGGTTCTGTCATTTTTCCCATATAAGAGTACACATTTTCTCAAAAAAATTTTCCCATTTTTTCTCCAAATATTTTTAATTTTATTTTTTAAATATCGTTGACAACTTGTCACTGAATAAATACTGACTTGATTATTGAATGAATAATGACAAATTTTTTTACAGATTTTAGAAAAAAAGAGAAAAATTTGTTCTTAAGCCAAGAATTAAATTTTCCTAATACCTGATACTCACTCATTATCTTTCGTACTCGGCGAGTAAAAAAGTGATTATTCAAATCAAGATCTAAATTTTATTCTATAAACTTGAGTAGTTTTTGTAATAAATAATAAGAGAACGTGTTTTGAAAATGTAAAATTTTTTTTTTTCACAGTTTTTATAAAAAACTGTTTGTTTGTTCTTATAATTAATTTTTAATATTATTGCATAAGAATTTTGTTATTTGAATTTAATAATTTATTGTATAAAAATTTCAGTTTTTTGTCTGAAAATTTATATGCGTATCATCAGAGGCAGATGCCTAAAGTTTTAAATTTTAATTTAAACATTTGTAATTTGAATGATATATGCAACTTCTTAGAAGGCATATTAAGATAATTTTATTATCTTAATATTCAAACTTTAGCAATTCGAAATCTTTGCTCAGTTCAATTCAATTCTATTCAAACTAAAAATAAATTAATGAAATTAACAATCAATATTATAATAGTATTGCTTATATTGTTTCTTATGGGATGAATATATAATTTATGTTTCTTTTTCAATATTGGTTTTTATATAAAATTAATTTGAAAAAAAAAAAAATGTAGTATTACACAAACACACACATTAATGCATTATTTTCGAGGACATGAATATTAACTTATAACATTTTTACTGTAAGTATTTCGTTTTCCATTCTTAAGGTTACCACACATATTATTATGTATATTTGTATATAAAAAAATATGCGAACATAATATATGTATGTATGTATTATAAACACATCAAATGCACATGAATTAATTGTGTAATAAATCTGTGTATAAGTGTGTGTTCAATACTTACACACACATACATTCTTTTACTTCTATAATAATTTTGAGTATTTCTTACAAAATACCAAATATAAAGTTAAAAGAAAAAAAAATATGAAAAAATAATGGGAAAAAAAAGTCTCCAAATTGCAATGTGAAATCATTATTTTTTTATATTTTGCAATTTTTGGATTATTGTTAAGTTGATTGTTTGCTTTATAAGTTAGTTTGTGCTGGCTAAAAAAAAAACGTTTAACTTTAAATATAAGAAAAAATTAAAAAAGAAAATGGAAAAAAAACCAAAACAGCGTTGCATCGAAAAATGATACAAAAAATAGTGAAATTTTCTGTTTTTGTTTTTTATTTTAATTTTTATGGCCTCTATTGTCTGTCTGGTTTTAGCCTTTTTTTTGCATTTGCTTTTACCATTTGCAATTCTTTTTTTTTTGCTTTCTGCTTTTTGGTTTTATTACCAAATTTAATGATATTGAAAGTAGGTTATTTCAAGCTGATATTTTTTCAAGGAAAAAGGAAACTTATATGCACGACAACAAAATTTTTTTGGTTTTGAAAATGGCAACAACAATGGCAACATAAAGGCAATAATGAAGCAAAAAAAAAAAAAAACAAGAAAAAAAATGAAAATTTTTTTTTTTTCATGAAATTTTAAGACTAAGAAATTAAAGTTGATTTTTTTATTGTGTGTGTTTGAATTTTATTTTTTTTTTTTTATATTTTTATTATTATACATAATGTTTATATATCATTATGTGTTCATTATTTTTTTTGGTACTACATGCATGCATAAATGTGTAATTATTCCAGCGCATAAGTAAGTAAGAGTAAGGGAGAGTGTGTAATGTATGAAATGCCAATACAGGATCTATGTTTTTTTTTTTTTGGTGTCTTCGTTGTTTTTTGTCATCTTTTATTGCAAAATAACTGCGAATTTGTTAAATATATTATGTGGGATATTCAAACCCAGAAATTTCTAGAAATTTCAAGATATTTCATCCTTTTTTTTATATAATTTTAATGCATTTTTTATCAAAAATTTTTTTCATATATAAAAAAAAATATTTTTATAAACGCCATCTTAAAGTAATATAATGTTAATGTTAATTTAAGATTCGATTAAGGGCGATTGAAAAATTATAAAAGTCAAAAATTTCTTGAAATTCAATAATATTAAAAGCTGTTGGCATTGTATTCAATTAAGTGTTAATATAAATTAATAATAGTTAAAAAAAATATGCATTGAGAATTTTAATTTTGTGTATTTTTGCATTTATACACACATTACTTAATATAAATATAATAAAAAAAACAAACTACGAGCGTACAAGTTAAAAAATAGAATCGATGTTTTAATCATTCTGGAAAAAATTGAGTATGATAATAAAATGCAACAAGTGAAAAATAACCTGTTCCTGTCTTATTCTGTATACTATATAGCATAAATGGAAAATACTTCAGCTTAGATTGCAGATTTCAAATCGAATAGAGGCAAGGGTCTCTAAGAGAATTAAAAGGAAACACCCCAATATTGAGGAAATCCTGTCCGATACAATTGCGATGTTACAGACAAGCCAATACCGGGTAGTCGCGAAAAATATGTTAAACAATTATTAAATTATTAAAATAATTTATTTTAAGTGTTAATTTTAATTATTTGCAAAAGATCGGAAAGAAAAATATCGTATCGAAAATGTTATGTAATCAACCCATAATTTTTGTTTTATGTTGTAAGGCCTTCTGTATACTCATATATATTTGCTAATCCTTGTTTTTTCGAGAAAATAAGATATTTTAAATTGTTAAACGGAAATAATAAAAATGAAAAAAAAACAAATAGCTACATATGAACCAAGATGAGTGACAAATTTGTTTTTTGGAAATGACATAAAAATGACATTTTGAAATGTCATGCAACAATTATATTTCCATTTTATTCTTATTTATTTTTAATTAAAATAAAAAATATTAGAGATAAAAATATGATATTTAGTATGTGATTGAAAAAGGCTGAACAAAATGCAATGATTATACTTTCCGTTTTCAACAAAATCTTTTAATTTTAATATGATTGCTTTGAACACGATCTATATGTAAGTTAGTGAATGTGGAATGCATTTGACCTACATTTTATGTTCGTTAGTATTGACGTTTTTATATTTATTAATATTTTTCTCTGGTTTTTTTTTTTTTCTTAAAATTCCCTATATTGATAAATAAAGTAAAATTATTTTGTATAATTTTTGAAAAATATTATTTAGGTTTATTTTGTTTTT